TGTTACAAGGAGAGACAGAAAGACGGACAGAAACAGACAAAGAGCAAAGGCCAGAGGAGCGGTGATGAGCAGAAGAAGTATAAAGAAGGGACTCTAATGTGCTGCTTTACCTCCAGTATTTGAAATAGAGGGTGTCAGGTGCACTATAAAACTGGAAACAATGCAGGAACCTGAGGCAGCCTGGAACCAGGAAGCATGAGGTCTCTGGTACCCAAAGCCCAGGCTTCAAATCCTTTCTTTCCCACATCTGGACCATATGACTAACACAGAAATTACCTTGGTCTCATCTTTCTGTGATACAAATGTGGGGAGCTGGAGGTGCTGTCTGAGAAGCAATGAGGTGCTGAGCCCTAGGCTGCTGAGTCACTGCACCTCTCACCCTGAGCCTCCCTCCCTGGAGACTCCCATTGGGAACAGGTCTGGACATTAGTTCCTCCAGGACTCCAAGTGCCTCAGAATTCAGACAAGTGTCCCCCTCCTTCAGGGACTAGGGCAACTCTGGCTGTGAGTAGTGTGAGGATCCCTTATGGCTAAGGGCAAGGGTGAGAAGCTCCCTGTCTAGTCAGCTCTTTTCTGTGGCAGTCACTTCAGAGTGCTGCCAGCAAGCATCAGAAGGGCTTCACACCAAAGACAGCCACAGTTCAGAGAAGCCCAGCAAACACAGAGCCCTGGGCAGGCACTCGGAGTAAAGAGAGCTTGATTTCAGAGAAGCCCAGCAAATACAGAGGCCTGGGCAAGCACTCGGGATTAAAGAGAGCCTGATTTTGGAGAAGTCCAGCAAACACAGGCATGGGCAGGCACTCAGGGTTGGGGGTTATAATCTGTGCATATCACATGTGTTCACCCTCTCATTCAGCTGTAGCTCTGAACCTTGAAGTATTTTATACACTTAAAACATGCATGCACATACACAAGATACACACACACATATGTACACACACATATGCATATATTTTTACACAAAACACACAGTACATATACATGCAGATACACATGACCCCACACATGACCCACATGAACACATATGTACATAACTCATACACCCATATGGCAAACATGCATACACATGTACAAATATATACATAATGTATATATGCGCACAACACAAGGTACACATGCACACACTTAAATAACACAAATGCACACTTGCATAACACACACATACCTCATGTGCACATACACATACATTCAGGTGACACAATGTACTCACAGGCATGTAGCACACATATGCACATACAAATAAATGTGCTCACAATATTACATGCACACCATACACGACACACATGCATGCCTAGCATAGAAGCACATGCATTCTACATGCACAGTCATTCACACAGGTACATACACAGATGCAGGTTGGGTCACTCCTCAGGCTTCTATAAAAGGCTCAAATGCCTTCCTCAGAATGGCCCGAAGTATCTGGAGAGGAGACCCCGCCCCTCATGCATCTTGCTGTACCCCTGCCTGCTGACTGGTGTGGGCACTCTGAGGTGATAAGATAGGGAAGAGGGGGTATGAAGGATTGATCTGCATTCATTATGAGCAGAGGTCTTTTTTTAGTTCACACCCTAGGAAGCATATGGAAACCCCTTTGTGCTCAGTGAAAGGTGCGGGCATGTGGCAGGAGTGGTACTTGTGGAACAAGCCCGTTTGCTGTGGAGTGGGAAGGGCCTCTGCTCCAGAGGTGCCAAAGCTGCGGAAGTCCCAGTGTCTCCCTTTGGGGTCTGGGAACAGGGTGGAGATCAGGTTTCATTCCAGTGTTGTTGCAGTCAAGGACCCCAGAACACCCAAGCAACCTAACAGCACCTCCAGATCCCTGTGGGGTTCTTTAGGGATGTTTTGGAATCCTGCAGCTGCCAGAGCTGAGTACCATAACAGAGGGCTTAAATAGCAGGAAGACAGCCTCATGTCTCCTTGGCCAGAATTATGTCAAGTCAAATCTGCTTTGTGTTCACTTGAAGCTCTCCTTTGTCTGGGACCTGCCAAAGGTCAGAGAGACTTTAAAGAAGAATTTGTCACAGGTTTCGTGGGGAGGGACAAGAGACAAAGATTTAGCACAGCCAATCATGACTTCATGGAAAGGGCAACTTAGAGATGAAAGTATCCGAAATGCTCATCTTGTTACCTTGCAATGCTGAGATGCAGGTCCCAGCATGGCCTCCAGCTAGGCTTAGAGGGTGGGCTTGCACATGGCAGGAGCCCCTGGATTGCTATGCAACCTCTTTGGACCTCAATGGTCTCATTTATAAGATGGGTATGAATCTCTCTCTGCTGGTTCCTATGAGATGAGAATGTGCACACAGTGAGGGCTTAGTCCAGTGGAAATTATCTGAAGGGCTTCAGACCTTAGATGAAGTTTTGGGGAAGCAAGTGCCATAACTTTGCCCTCCATAGCCCCCAAGTACTACTTTTGATCTTTCTGGAGGTTTGACAATTGATCATTTAAAAAAATTCTTTTGGGTCTGGAAGAAAAACACAAACAGTAATGTGTTTGTCACATGTGAATAAGTCCTGAGTTAGGACCCATGTCAAAAACTGGGTTGAACAGCGGATGTGTATAATCTCAGAAAAGATAAAATGGGTGGTGGAGTCAGACAGATCCCTACAAAGTTGATGGCCAGTTATCCTAGCCAACTTGGTGAGGTTCCAGCCCCACGAGATACCCTGCTGTCCCAAATAAAATGTGGAAAGTCTCTGAGGGAGAAACACACCAAGGTCATCCTCTGATTTCCATGAATTCATTCCCACATACATATGTGTACCTATATATACACATGAACACACACACGTACACACATGCATGCACACCGCACCTATATTTTGGGGAAAGCCACAATGCTAGGACCAATCTTAACAATATATAGAAGACAGGACATTTGGGAAACATGATTTGGCATCACTTGGTATGCTAGATAGTTTTATGTCAACTTGACACAAGCTAACATCATCTGAGAGGAGGGAGCCTCCATTAAGACAATGCCTCCATAAGACCAGATGTAGGCAAGCCTGTAGGGCATTAGTGATTGATGTGAGAGCGTGGTGATATCTTGTTTGTACTCTAACAAAGAAAACTTGCCTGAAGATCAGAGGGCGGTGCTAGCCACTAGTTAACCATAGAAGTATGGAGGTCTGTACAGACAGACAGGAAGCGATACAGATGAACTGAGAGAGGAAAATAAGGTAGGAGGAGACAGGAGCTCAAGCTTTTTTTCGAGTGAGAGGTTGGTGAGGTAAGAGGTAGCAGTGGCTTGCTCCTTTGTTTCAGCATTTAACGTGATATCTGACTCTGGGTTTTTATTATTAAGACCAATTAGAATTCGTACTGCAGGAGAGGGCCTAGCCAATTGTGGATGGTGCCATCTCTGGATGGATGGTCCTGGGTTCTACAAGAAAGTAGATAGAACAAGACATGAGGAGCAAGCCAGTAAGCAGCACTCCCCCCACGGCCTCTGCATCAGCTCCTGCCTGCAGGTCCCTGCCCTGTTTGAGTTTCTATCCTGACTTCCTTTGATGATGAGCAGTCATATGGAAGTGTAAGCCAAGTAAACTCTTTCCTTCCCAACTTACTTTTCAGTAATGGTGTTTTATTGCAGCAATAGAAACCTCAGCTAAGATACAGGGCAACAGTGAGCCAGTGTCTGGATATTTCATTATGTGTGAAATGTAAATTTGGGTCTTTGTCTCTTTTAATTCATCACTTCTAAAACATACATTTTAAAAAAGTGAATATTTCCCTGATGCTCACAGCTCCAGTTCCTCAGTTCATCATTCAATCTGTCAATGAAATGAGGAGAAAGGTAACCCTGGATTAAGGCCAAGGGCAAAGAGTGATGCTGAAAAGACGAGGCAAAGACAGTGGTCTCATTATGGACTCACTGGAGATCCACTCAGGAGAGGTGTTCTAGTGGGGAATGATATACAGCACCTGTCCTTCCTTCTAACTACTCTAAGGTCCATCATGCAACCTGAGCCTGAAGAATACCCAGGAAAACTAATCTAGCAGCAGAGTTACACTCTACCCCTCTTGTCTCTGAGCCCTCTCCCTGGCAACTCACTGTGCTGAGAACAACCCCTGCCTGCTCTCCTGGGGATGCCCCATGTGGTGGCCAGCTGCCAGAACCTAGCTGGATACAAGCACTAGGCTAACATCCCTCTCCATTCAACTGCCTCACTTGACAATGGGTAGAGGACAGGTGATTCAGGGTCTCTAATCTCTCCAAGCTTTGTGGGTCTTTTTGACCTTATGCTACTGCTTGATACTATCTCAAGGTTGACCAGTGTGGCTGGGAACACTTGGGAGAGAGTAATCAAGATTAGAGGTAGGAGTGGGGACCCAGGAATTCTTAATATCAGTGAGTTCCATGATTTCCAGGAGAACTTGAAGAACTGAACTCTTGAACATGCGGGATGATATATCTTCCCTTGCTCTCATCGATGAAGCTCACTTTCAGGTCCCCTGACTGCTGCTATTGTCAGAGGCCACCAGGACCCCAGTCCCAGGAAGAGCTCTTCTTCCCTGGCAGATGCTCTACTGGGGCTTTGCAGAATGTTTGCCAAGTTTTTTTTCTCAGCCCTCTCTCCCACATAGCCTCCTCAGTAAGGCGGAACTGAATTTGAGGCTGAGCCAAACCAGACTCTCATGGATTAAAAGATAGAAACAAGGCTGTCCAGCTTCCTTACTCTATAGACAAGACATGAAGACCTACAGACTATAAAGACGTGTCCTGAGTCAGAAGCAGAAGTGGAGCTGGCTTTAAATCCTGCCTTTATAGTTGCTGTCCCTATGAGCTTGGGGATATGAGATTGTCATGTCTTCCAGCTTCACTACAGTAACCTACGTGCATAGTTGACAGAGTGCTTAGAATAAGTGCCTAATCAATGCCTATTGCCATCATTTTTATTGGTGGGCCTCATTATTGCTTTCATGGTTACCTGACATAGTTACATTCCCCTAACGCATGCCCACAGCACCCTCAGTAACACTCCTTATCCTTCCACAGGCTGGTGGAACTCTTCTCCACAGCACCCATTGGCTCCCACTGGGGTGTACTGTCCAAGTGCTTGGCCTACAGCAAGGCTGCGTCGGACCCCTTTGTATACTCCTTGTTGCGACACCAATACCGTAGGAGCTGCAAGGAGCTTCTGAACAGGATCTTCCACAGACGCTCCATCCACTCCCGCTCCGTGGGCCTCACAGGTGACTCGCACAGCCATAATATTCTGCCAGTGTCAGAATGAAGGACCGCTCTCCTGCTGGGGAGTTCAGAATGAGGTGGACAGAGCAAAGGGCAGTGGTCTAGGACTCCTGGGTGAACAGTAACTGCCACCATTGCCTGGTGATTGCAGTGATGTTGATGTCTGAACAAGTCCTGGCGCCTGCTTCTTGGTCCTTCCAGGGGGGATATCAGACTGTCCCGTCACCAAAGGATGGCCATGGGCCACGTCCTGGTCGTTCTTTCTGGGAGTGTGTTTTGAGCACTTAGACTCACCAAAGGATGGTAAGCTAGTCGCTGTCAAGGATACAGAGTGCTGGTGGCAGGTGTAGGGCATAGCACCCACCTGTTTGCTAACCACTGGTCATGGGGCCCCATGCTCCAAGGGACATTTCAGTGATGCTGAATGCGAAGGTTGGCTGTGGCCATCTGGCCCCAGATCTAATATGGCATCTCTTTCTCACTTGGTAGTGGTGGCTGCTGTAACCCAAATATTATCTAGCTGGTGCCAACTACATTATGCTCAGCTGACACTCTTGGGCTCTGCACTCAGTGGGAAAGTGTTTAACAACCAGTTTGCTGCCTACCAGTTGTCTGAGGAATGATAAATTGGATTCAACTTTTGTCCCTCTTCCATCAAACAAACTCATGTTTGTGTGTATTGACAATCTTAGCATGAAAGTGGTCTCAATAGACAGGTAATAGACAATGTTAGATTCTCCGAAATCTGAGAAAGAAGTCACCTTCTTCTGATCTGCATGTCATAGCTATGAGAGTCCAATAAAGCAGGAAGAAGGTATCTGGTCTATCCTACCTCCCCAGTTGGGATCTGAGTTGGTAGGAAGCACTCCCTCTTATCTTAGACATCTTGCCCATCATAACCTATGAGGTGGATGTACAGGAGCTGACCTGAACATGGATGCAGCCTTAGTTTTCAAATGCTGGGTACCATTATCCTGGTGGCTCATTAGTCTCATTCTGTAATTCTGTCCTGAGAAAGCAGGGGCCGTCCAAGGTCACCACAAAATTGCTTTGTGCCACTGATGAGAGAGTGCAATTAGTATAGGATGATGTTCCCATAATATACATGCCAGTCCATTGGGAGCCATTGTCTTAGTCTCATTAAAACAAAGATAAGGATTGGAGAAATAGCTTAGCCAGTAAAGTGCTTACTGTGCAAGCATGAGGCCCTGAGTCTGACCCCAAGAATCTGCACCAAAAGAAAACTGGACATGGTGGCATGCACCTGTAATCCTAACGCTGGAGAAGAGAGAGAGGTGGCTCCCCTGGACTCACTGGTCGGCCAAGACTTAGCTGAACTGGTGAGTTGCATGTCAGAGATGAACCTCAAAAACAAGCCAGGACAGGTTCCAAAACAATACAGAGAAACCCTGTCTCAAAACCCCCCCAAAATGTAGATGGTGACTGAGAAGCAACACATGAGGTTGACCTCTAGCTCCCACATACCCACACCCACACCCACACCCACCCACACACCCACACCCACCCACACACACACACACACACACACCAACAATGGCCATGCCTTCTTCCCATCTCATCATTTCAGATTGATTTGAGAATGATCCTTGCAGTTGTTTCTCATCTCTATAAAACCTCTAAGAGACTCTTCTGGGTGGAAAGGGTTGAGAGCTATCAAACCAGTATTTCTTTTCTTATAATTCTACACATCCTAGTCTCGGAAGTACAGCAGGAACTAGCCACCAGGGACCAACCTGAAGAATGTTGGTTTTCCCTGCCAGGCAGCCCCAGTAGTTAAAGGCAGAGAAATGTCTGCTTGTCTATTTGAAAAGATGGCCTATCATTAACTCTTGGCAATTCATTTAGAAAACAACTCCACCAGGCCTAATGTCATCAGGCTTCAGAGTTTCCATGGAGACAGCTTTAATATCTTCCCATTGCTGGGAGAGGTATGCTCCCACCTGCCTTGTTAGAGTAAAAGAACCTGGGGTCCAGAGGGAACTCCTTGGGATACTTGTTTTAACTTTATAGCCATCTCTTCCCACCCAGTCATCTGGGGGAGTTGGTGAGGTACACCCCTCCCTCCTGTGATAAGGGATGTCACATGGTAACTTGAAATTAGCCACAGTGGAAGTTTTTGTAAATCAGGTCTCTCCTCCAGAGCTGGTTGTCACCCATCTAGCAGCACCACACTGACACATATTTGTTTCTGGGATAAAAATGTCCTGGTTCAGAGTCCATTTGGTCCCATCTAGCCCAAATCACAACAATGACTTCTATAGATTTCCTAGTGAAGAGCAGCTGTATCCACCCGGTGGTCCCAGAACTCAGAGTGCTAGGGGAGTTCAAATCAAACCAGTGGCCAAGACAGCATGCACAAAATGATCCCCCTTTTCACACAAATACTGTTAAAGTTGGGCAACATAAGAGTGGTGACCCAGAGGGTGAGGTCAGCAGACAAGCAAAGTCGAGTAGGGACATCCACTTCTCCCACGTTGGTCTAGAGGGAGAGTCATCCTACAAATCCTTTCCCTGCTTGCTCTGTGTAGTCAACATATTGTACCCCGAGTTGCAATGAGATCGCTTTGTCCCTTCCCTAGCTAAGAAACAGGAACTGCCACCCACGATACCACTTATCCGGAAGGATATATGCTGTAATTTTCACTATACCTCTAAAACTGCTTACCATCTAATAAAACCCGTTACACTGGCATTGTGCCACTGACAAGAACCCCAGATAAGCCCACTGATGGAGAGTTTTCATTATCACTTAGACACAGGCTTGAAAACCCAAGGGAAGTGAGAAGGAAGTGCCTCCGTTGGCAATGGTCACCAGCCAATGCTGCGGCAATCGCCTTCCCATAAATGTTTATCATGAGCCTGCACATCTCTGAAACACACTCCCTGTGGTGATCACAGTTCCCACTTGAGCAGTCTACCTCATTCTGGTGATTTAATTAATCAAATGACATGTGGTTTTCTCAGGTATGAGGTATATAAAACAAGACTCCGTCCCCCAAGATAGAAGGTCTCAGTGACTTGCTTGACTCCCACTGGTGTACAGACTCCTATCCACTGCACCTGCACTGCCGCTGGGCAGGGGAAACCATTCTGTGGAGCTCCAACTCCACTCAGAGGGCTCAGTTTATAATCTCTGCCCCAGTCTGCATTTTCCTTGCATCCCTTCTAGGAGGTCGGTAACTTGGAAACCTGGGGCCCTGGGAATACAGGACGCTTGCAGAATGATGCAACAATGGTGTCTGGGTGTCTGCATTCAGTTAGGAGACAAGCATGGCTTGGTGTTTCCTACTGTGTTTTCTTCCAGGGATTAGCTCAGGCCTCCAACATTCTGAGCAATAAACCTCTTACCTTGTGCTTGTGAGATATGCTTTTTTTCATGTGTCTCTCTCCTTGAGAGAAGGTAGACAGACTAAGACCATGCCTGTGTACTGGTTGTCATTCCTTGGAAGGATTGGATGTACAGGTAGTCATCTGTGCTTAGCTGTTGGATGAACCCCAGTGTTGTGTGTTGTCAGGATTTGACCTTAACACAGGGTTAAGTAAGTTGCCTGATTTTCTTGGGGTTATTCTATAAGGAGCCAGAAACCTCATGGATCAGCTTTTTTTCCTCCAGCCCATGAACACCATGGGAAAAGATCTGGAGATGGTGAGGTTCCCATTGTCTTCCCAATATTCTGGGGATCTTAATGGAAACAGTAGTTATTAAACTTCCCCATCCCCAAGTGTCACCAAGGGAGGTGCTTTTATATGAACTCCTGAATTCTCCAGAGGTGAATTTAGGCAAGATGGAAGGACTTGGGTTTCTATGATCTATATATCAGTGTCCAGGCAGCTGACTCAGGTAATCTTTCAACTCTGTCCTCAGCAGTGACAGCTCCTCTGCAGGGACACTACAGGATTAGTATTTTAGGTGTTGAGGAGCCCTTGTAAACCTGCATTTTCAAGAAATATTGGGCCATCATCTCCATGAGCATCAGCAGCATGAAGCATTCCCCCAAGACCCAAGTAAGGCTTCTCATTTCCTGAAGTGTTAGCACATGGAGATGTGCAGAGCCTTTTGTACAGGGGGAAGAACTCTGCATCTCTCCGCATCTCTCCTTTACTCCTACAGGCTCAGCAGAGAAGTCTGTATGTGAGGAGCCTGCCTTGTAAGCCCCCAACCTTCCCTACCAGCACCTCCTTCAACCCAAGCTTTTCCTGCCTTTCTGCAGAAGATACTGTGGGATAACAGGTCTCAGCTCCTTCCCCAAGCACAGAGTGAAGCCTAGGAACTGGACTCTTTGGCCAGTCAGCTTCCAAGGGGGAAGGAGTCATGGGTCCTGAGGAATGGAAGTGATTCTGGATATAGAGAGAACAGGCCTGGAGCTTAAAGTGGTTTCTATCAGCCTGACCCAGACATCAGAAGTCAGGGACTTTCAGTGCCAGAAGGCCAGAGAATGGGTTTCTGCAATGACATGATGAGTGGCTGGTGAGAAAGCTGGATCTGACCAAGTGATGTGGGAGTTCTCACCTGTCACCCCATAGTTCTGTAAGCCAGAGCCTCCTGTGTCATGCCCCCAGGGGAGATGAGTATTAAGGGTGTTGCTCAGCACTGTTAATTAGAAGCCCTGGAAGACTTTGCAGAGGCAGTGGGCTCTGAACTGCTGCTACAGCATGGGGTTGAGATGTGGACTAGCCTGGTAAACATTCAGTAGAGTAGGGCTTAGTGTGCATTCAGAAACACTGTCCAGGGGGTGCTCAGAAGTGGGCAGTGCCTCCTGAGACACAATGAATGCCATCTGTGACCAACAGGGTGGATGTTCTTGAAGTAAGAACAAAGTTAGGAAAAGATGATAGGGGGAAAAATCCATAGATATTTAGCCATCCAAAAAGAGAAGAACAAAAAAACAGAAGGAAAGAAAGGAAGAAAGGGAATAGAAGAATGGAGATGGGAAAGGCGAAAGGAACTGCATTCAATTTGAAGGATCTGTCATTTATTCATTTTAATTAAATATTTTATCTACTCGCCACCTAGACCTTCCCTCCAGTTCCACCACCCCTCTTCTCACATAAGTCTAACCACCCAACTTTATGAACTCACTGAGTTCAAATGGTGTTGCTGGTATGTGTGGAAGTGTAGGACTGTCTACCAGAGCATGGGCAGTCTACCCAGGGCCAGACGGTAGAAGAAAGCTGATACTCCTCCAGCAGCCATCACTGCTAATAGCCCCCCAGCCAGAGAGTGGGGCTTTGTGATCCCCTCCCTGACGACCCATGTTGGGATTTGACTAGCTTTGTCTTATGCAGGTGAATGCAGCCATGGCCACCGTGAGTTCATGTGTACTGTCATGTCCAGGAGACATCTTTTTGTTGCAGTCCTCCCAACCTCTGGCTCTGACCATCTTTCTACTCCCTCTTCAATGATGGTCCCTGAGCATATCAGAGGAGTCATCATATAGACGTCTGAGTACTCTGTGAGTTTCTTATGTTCTGTAATTTGGTCAGCTGTGGGTCTCTGTATTAAGATCCCATTTTCTGCAAAAACAAAATTCTCTGAGAATTTTATATAATGTATTTTGACAATAATTCCCCTCAATTCCTCTCCTTAACTTCTCCCAGTTCAACCCACACTCTCCTGCCTCCCCAAATTTGTGTCCACTTAAAAATTTTTTAAACCCATCAACTCCAATGTGGGCTGTTCATATCCTTCTGGGTGTGGAGACAACATGCTTAAAAACTGACTCTCCCTCCTCCAGAAGCCATCAACTGTCCAGACCTCCTGAGTTAGGGCTGAGGGCTCATGGATCCCTTACCATTCCATGCTAGAATGTTTGCTAACTTGATATTGTGAGGCAGCCACAGCTGCTGATAGATTGATGAGCACTGTAGTTCTCGCATGTCTAGAAGACACAGCGATTTTAGTCTGGTCCTCCCCAACTTCTGGTTCTCAAATCTTTCTGTCCCAGTTTCCATCACTAACCACCATCCACTGCATAAAGAAACTTCTCTGATGAGGTCTACAAGCTTCACTAATCTATGAGCAGAAAAATATAAATTTAGAGGGCATATTAATACTGTCTCCATTTATCAAAATAATAGTACAAATCTATAAAATAACTTTCACACACACATATCCAGAGCCTGTGAATTCTCCAACCATGGATTCTTGGCCAGATTTGCAGTACCAGGCACGTGTTTCCTCCTGTGTAGTAGGCATTTGATCCAACCAGAAAAATGATTGGTTACCCCATAGCATTTGTGACATTATTGTACCTGTGGGCAAATCTTGCCTTGTTGGTCTTTGTTATAGTTATCAGTGCTCACAGATGACTAAGACTGCATAGCACCCTCCAGTACTATGAGAGCTAACCAGCAAGGGAGAAAGCTTTTGGAAGTCAGTATTGATTTTACCACGTCCTGTGAATAATGTGTGTAGTGTTTTTGGCAACAGGGTCATGTCATCAAGTTTGGATATGCAACCAAGCCAACATTCATTCTTAATGACAGTGTCCATTTCTCTTTTTATTTGTTTACTTATTTATTTGCTTACTTACTTACTACTAGTTTGCTTATTTTTAAGACAGGTTGTCCCAGCTAGCCTTGAGCTCACCATATATCTCATACTGACCTCAAACTTGTGGTGTATCTTAGAGAAATTAGCAATCCTCCTGCCTCAGCCTCCTGGGTGCTGATATTGCAGGCATCAACCACCACCAGCTTCGATTAAGTCTCAAGAAACCAAATCCAGTCACATTGTCCTAGGGTACCTCCTCTGATGATATCCTGAGTGGGAACAAATGTGTGTCACTCTAAGGGGGTGTTTCACAGTTAACATCCATGTAGGGTCTAAGGCGTACTGCTGCCAATCCCCAGGGACAAAAGGAAGAATTAACATAGCATAGTGTACAATAACACAGCCATGGTACAAAGGTTGTCCTCACACTTATTAGGCAAGCCACACCCTCACCATCTTTTGCAGGGGAGGTGAACAGTTCATTCTTGAAATGTGTCATGTAAATACATACGTCACATTTAAAGGCCAAATGTGAATCAAACCAATAGCAGCATAGCTCTGTTTTATCATCCACACTCACATTTAAGGATTTATTTTAAAAAGAAATTGATATTTTAGAGTCAAAGGCTTATGTGTATCCCTTGGATATGGATGCTCTTAGGAACACTGAGACATGGTATTTTCCATGTCCTCTCACACATGTCCAGTATGTCTGCATAGTCACCATCAGATTACGGTGTGATGGTTTCCAAGGGCCCAGAATCTCTATTTGGAGACAAGCAGTCTCAGACCTCAGTCACACTCCACAACACCCAAAGAGAACAGGTTTGGGATACAGAGAATCAGAGGCTATCACAATGACATTCTTGCAATGTGTCTGGGTGCCAAGAACCAGATCATAGTAATTGCTCAGGCTGCCTAAAAATCCCCAACACCTAATCCCCAAATACCCAGCCTCCCATGGCCTTCCCTTGGCTCCTCTGTTGCCAAACCTCTTCTTGAATTATTAATAGTAACCAACCCACCCTACTTGAGAAAGCTTCAAATACCAAGCTTCCTTGCAAACTGAAATGATTCCAAACCTCAACCATCCTTTTTTACAAGAAATGTGTAAACACAATATCTCTTGGAACATTGGGGGCGTTCATAGGATCTAGTGTCCTGCCAAATTCATCAGGGTCTCCTGCAGGAAACTCAATTGCTCTGAGCTGCAAACAGCTCTCCCTTCCACCTGGGGCAATTAGCTCGATGTTGACTGGATAGCATTTTTTGCTTAGGCACCTCTGGGAGAAGGAATTGAAACCTTCTGTCTAAATACAGGTTGCTCATTTGGTGAGTATGCTCTTGGGTGGACAGAGCTCCCCCTCTGGTGCTGTGTCCTGTGTAGTGGATGGGAATGGACACCATCAGCCATGCCCATCCTTCCTCCCCAAGGAAGCACAGCAGGTTCATCTTGCCCAGTATCCAGTAGAAGAAGCATCACTTCCTGCAGGTGAGAGGAGAGGGAGTGAAAGGCCACTACTAGCATGCCATCCTGAAGGCTCCTGGGTACCAGGGCACCAATGACCAATTCTTTACACCCCTGTGTTTCCACATATTTCATTTGTTTTTGCTATCTGCAAAGGAAGGTGAGGAGGCTTGGGTCATTCATAGCTTGAGGCACCTACAAAGTGGCCAGTAGATGACATAAGGGTCCTCACAGCTGGGAAATGTCAAGTGTGCCCAGTAGGGCTCAAGCTAGAATCCTACAAGGAAATGTACTTTATATCTTCACATTTCAAGAAAACTAAGATTTAGGAAAATATCAGGTATTTCTTGCGACACTTGATTGGTTTCTACAGTGTTGCAGTCCTCTCCAGGAGATTTCTAGGAAAATGAATGGAAATACATGTGCTTGCAGAGTCAATGCTCCCCCCACCAGTGTGCATGCCCGTGAGAGAGCACTACATATGGCGGGAATTCAACACAAACAACTGAACACTGAGCACCAGATGAAGCAAAAGTTTAGCGTCTTATGTCATTGTAGTTTTAACTTTGCTTTCTAATTTAATGAACGAAACTGTGGCTCCATTTATTCTTAAATAAAGTATCACTACTCTCTCTCCCAATGTGGCAACATTTACCTTCCCTGTGACACACCTGCCAACAGCTGTATTCTGCTGAAATGGGACTGGAGAGATTTGAATTCAAGGCCAATGCTGCCTGCTCTGTTTACAATGGCTTGCGTTTTGTGAATATATATCAAATGTTGTAATATATTTTTATGATAGAATTGATGGTTAATACAAGGGAAATATCTATATCTATATATTGTGATTCTGTCCAATAAAATTCCTGTTATAAAATCTCACCTGTACTTGGCTGACTTGGTGCAGACACATTTTTTTTGTGTGTATATATAAGCTAATTGTCACAAATGGTGGCACCAAAATTTGTCTTTCATTTCTTTCTTGCCTTCCGAGACTACATTCTCATTTCTACAAGCCATCACTGCCTCTGACCTCAGGCAGCTTTGAGTTTGAGGCATTCATCTTAATTTGTGCGAGCACACCTGCCATGGGAGAGGTGTGTCTTCCACTATGTCCAAATACAATGTGTTTTAAACCATTCAGTGCAGCTGAAACAGAGTACTTGAGACTGGGTAATATACAAAGAACAGCACTGAACACTGGGAAACCCAAGACTGGGGCCTGGTGTCTGACATGGTGGACAGCATCATATGGCAAGAAAGAATATAAGAAACTGAACTTGAGGCATTCAGACCCCCTTGCAGTTGGTGTTAATCCAGGCCTGAAGGTGGAGGTTCATTACTTAAATACCTCTCATTAGACCCTGCCTCCTGACATAGCAGACTCAGTTTCAATCACTTGCTTCGGGAGGCAGGGGCAGACTCAAACTGTAGCACCATGCAACGTTTAGATTTTGGGCAGATTCTCTGGGCTTTGCCAGGTGATCCATGAGCTGGATTCCAGAGTTCTGCAAGGGGAAGAGGTCATCCTCCAGCTGCCATATGCTTGTTCTGAGGTCTCAGCCAGTCTCCTTCCTAAGAGCTCCAGCTGTAAGGATTTTCCCCTATCATGCTTCAGTGAGGCGAAATGACTTGGGACCAGAAGGATGAATCAGGAAGGAGTCTGTGTTTGCAGATGGAATACCCTGGTCCATAGTGGCTGACCACCAAGGGCCAGCCCTCGAGCCACTTCAGGAGCAAGGTGCTGAGTGAGGGTGTGGACCACCACAGCCGCCTGAGCACCTGCTGTGTCCCGGATGCTGCATGCCACACACCAGCAGCATTACCTCTGTAACCCTCCATTTATTCGTGTGAAGGCGGCATTATCCCCGCCCCAACCTTTCTGTGGTGAGCCTGCCCGTGTGGAGCAACAGGTGTAAGGTGAAAGAGATGCTCCTTGAAGACTCTGGCTGGCCCGCCCCTTCTGCAGCTACCCTCTAGGCAGGCTGGTGGGCTTTCTAACACTCATAGTCCCACTATGATTTATGCTTGTGGTCTCCCTTTCATCTTGGTTTTCTTTTCCAGGTTTTTGGTTATGTCAAGTCAGCTGTGGTCCAAAAGTATTAAATGGAAAATTCCAGAGAAAAATGATTCACGTATCTTCAGCTGCATATAAGAATGTTGAAATCTGGTGCCACCCTACTCTGTCCCATCAGGACGTGACTTAGACCTTTACATGCAGTGTCCCTTATGACTCACATACAACTTGCTCACAGCAGATTGGTAGCCTCAATGGCTGTCACAGTATCTATGAGTGCTTATGTCCAGGTGCTACTTAATATCAACCACAAAGCACAAGAGTAGTGATACTGGCCGTGTGGATATGACTAAGAAAAGTTACGGGGCATTTCATTTAAGAAAAAAGAGAAAAGGTGTCAATGTAAGGAAAGAAAAAAGTCATTTGTTGATGTTAATAAGATCTAGTGGGAAGAAGGACTATCCTCTTGGTGAAATGGCATAGAAGGAAAAAGAAATGTCTGGTAATTCTGTCCCTGCACATAAAACTGCAGAAATGGTGGGCTTGGTGTATATGAAGAATTCCTTAACTTCTCTGCATTCTCTATGGCTGTGGGCACCCATTGGGACAGACTCCCCCAGGATAAGGATAGATCACTGTCTTCTTAATTTTTCTAACTTCTGGTAAGCCCTGCATGCATTTTCAAATTCTTTGACACTTTCATACATGCATAGAATGTATTTAGATCACATCCGCCCCCAACTCCCCTCCTCCGAGGTGCGTATTTAGAAGGGCCGTGTTCTAGCCTGGCTTCTGACTTATTTTATCTGCCTTTGTACAAGACTCTTCTGTCTGTCAGTTCCAATTTTCCCTTCTTTAAAAATTAAGCTGCAGGGAAAATTTAGATATGGAAATTCAAAAAAATAAAAAAAGAATAGCATTCAGAAACAGAAAACACTTTGACGGTCGATTGACCCTACATAGGTACTAAGGCAATCCAGGGGGAAAGGAAAGCATTCCGTCAAATGGTGTGGAAGTAGCTGCATATCAATGCCCCTAAATAAGCAAGACTTGACCCAGCCTGCCCCATGCACCAACTTCTCTTGAAAATTCTCATACACACAAACGGAAAGCTAAAAATCTAAACTTCCCAGAAGAAAACGCTGGAGAAAATCTCAACAACTTTGGGGCATGCAAAATATGCCTTTGGGAAAAACCAAAACAACAACAACAACAACAAAAAACGATTGTAAGTGATGGTCGGGACTTCATCACAATGGGAAATGCCTGTTCCTGAAATACCATTAAGAAAATCAAAAGAGCAGGGGCAAAAAGGGACATTTGCAATTCCCATGTCTGGCAAAATAATTGCATCCATAATACATAAGAGAGAAAGCCTTACGGAAATGGGTAGAAGAAACAAGTGTTGCCAAGGAAAAGTATGCAAATGACCAATGGCATACAGAAAAGTCTTGATATCAAGAATCATCAGGCAAATGGAAATTAAAACTGCAGTCAGATACCACTCCACCACACATCCCTGGGGACAGCTCAGCCAAAGACTGTGAAATGATTGACAGTCATACGTTCTGCTTGGGAATGCATAGAGATCTTGTGCTTATGTGCCTGTGTGTGCTTGTGTGGCTGCGGGTACACATGTGACTATGTGTGCATATAGATGGGGGTATGTGTGTTGCTGGAGTGCATGTTTGTCTGGGAATGCATTTGTGTGTGGAAGGTACAAATTGATGTTGAATATCTCCTCGGTTATTCTCCAACTTGTTTAAACAGATTTTTTATTGCATTTTAATTCATTTTGTGTGTGGGCATTCACAGCTTGTGGGAGTTGATTCTCTCCCTCCACTATATGAATCCTAGGGATCAAACTCAGGTCATCCAATCCATGATGAGGGGCAAGCACCTTTATCTACCCAACCATCTCACTGGCCCTCCACCTTGGTTTTTGAGACAGGGTCTCTCACTAACCTGAAGCTGACCAGTTGGTTAGAATGACTTAGCAGCAAGCTCTGGGAATCTTCCTGTCTCCATGTCCCTCCACCTAGGTGCTTGGTTACATGCTCAGTTTATATATAGGTGCTGGGTATTAGATCTCAGGTCCTCATGCTTACCCAGTGAGCACTTTACCCACCTAGCCACCCCTCCCCCCGCCCGCCACCCTCCCTGTCTTAGCAATTTCTCAGAACAGTAAGCTTACATTTACAAAAGTGCAACTCCAAGTCTTCTCCCAAGAGAAGCGAAGAAGTGTCTGAGTGTGACCTGTGCCTGGGTCTTCTCAGCAGCTTTGCTTGTCAACAGCCCGAGCATCCAACAGCTGAATAAACACTTGTCATAGTCTTAATCTTTCTGTTTTTGATTTTCAAGACTAATATAAAGTGATAAAAAAAGAGATCATGTGGGTTTGGAGTAACAGACATCTCAGAGGCATATTGCAATATTGGGGGGGAGGGTCAACACAAGAGTGCCTGCTTAATAGCATTGCTCCTTGTGTTGTGTGGAACTTTTGTCAGAGCTCATCTGATCACACTTAGGATGGTATTGTTCATCTGTCACAATTAGGATGGCATTTATTGCTGATAGACACATTTCCATTGAACAGAGGGTCTCATGAGGGAAGCCACCTGTCTCTGAGACTTCTTTTCACTCCAGGAAACCTTGACCAACTCTCAGAATTAGCTTCTCTCATCAAAAAGTCTTCATTTTTCAGAACTATTAAAAATTGTCACCAAAGACAGAATCCTTCATGTTAACAAGTCAACTTTGGAGCAGGGGAGGGGGGATTCTGTAACCTTTTATGGGCTATGGGCTGTTAGCAGTCTATAATACCAATGGATTCCTCAAAATGACTTTTGGAATTAAAGCACTAAAAGGTTCAAAAAGAATCAAATTATGCTAAAAATATACCTGCTAAAATGTTCTTGAAAGTTGCAGTAAAGTGATACAGATTGTTGCACTAAAAGATAAGATCCAGTGACAATATAAATACTGTTGTGACATTATGCTACATTTCAAATAGTTGCAGAAATAGTAAGGTGACATATGATATCTGTAGTTTCTATTGGTATTAAGGTCACAGCTTAGCTAATATCCCTGTAGTCTGCTCTTCAGTATAACTCAGGGTAATGCCAAGTCTCTGTCAAAGGTTAGCAAAAATGAAGATACAACCTCCCATTGACTTCATAGACAGAGCTATATCTGTGAAACCCTGTTAGGAACACACTCGTGCCCTGCACACCTTGTGTGAGGCACTAAGCCAGACTTCTCCCAGTTCATCCTGAGATTGGCCCCTCACCCACATGAAGGTGGTGAAGGAAGCTAGTTCTTCTGGGAAATGAATCCTCCCCCATTAGCATGGGGATGATCCACTTGGAAATGTCTTAAGGGCCATCAGAGCTTCTTTTCCCTCCATATCTCTGTAGATGGGTTTCCCAGAATAGGGTTTCCTGGGTTCTTGAGATTGGAGGGACAACCTACGGCTGAGGGAGATACTAGCAGGTGTATTGGCAAGCTGGGCTGGTCATGAACTTGTCCTGACTGTGGACAGACCCAGGGTCAGGATGAGCACAGTAGACCCTCCATCCTCCACTACTACAACCTTGAGCAGGTTTCATGGAGATGGCAGGGTAGGAACCCAATCTCCAAAGTCCCCATGAGCAGCCCCATCAGATAAGTGGTTAAAATCACAATGAGTTGCCACTGCACACCATTAACACAAATAATGGAAGGATATGAACAACAGAAAATCACTCATATAGGGTGCTCACTATACAGTGTTTTAGGAAGTTCAATAATGTGTGTGTCTGTGTCTGTGTGTGTATGTGTGCATCTGTGTGTCTGTGTCTGTGTCTGTGTCTGTGTGTGTTGACAC